GGGTTTCGGGGGGTCCCGGAGGTCACCTGGGAAGGGGGGGACCCCCCCCGCGTAGACGGCGTCGGGGGCGGGGGGTCCTGCGGGCTGGGCGGGCACGGGGCTGTAGCCGTTGACGCTCAGCGGGGCCGCGATGGCCGGGACGGGGGTGGCCGCCATGGCCGGGGGGGTGCTGGTTCCTGGGGGGGGGCACCCCCGTCACCCACGGGCACCGACCCCACCGCGGGCACCCCTGTCACCCACCAGCACCAACCCAACCCTGGGCACTGGCCCCACCGCGGGTATCCCCATCACCCGTGGGCACCCCCGTCACCCACGGGCACTGACCCCACTGTGGGCACCGACCCGACCACAGGGTCCCCCGTCACCCACGGGTACCCCTGTCACCCGCGGGCACCGACCCCACCATGGGCACCGACCCGACCACAGGGTCCCCCGTCACTCACGGGTACCCCCGTCACCCACGGGTACCCCTGTCACCCACGGGCACCGACCCCACCACGGGCACCGACCCGACCGCGGGCACCCCCGTCACCCACGGGCACCCCTGTCACCCACGGGCACCGGGGGGGGGTTCGGACTGACCCCGACCCCACCCGACCCCACCGCGGGCACCCCCGTCACCCACGGGCACCGACCCGACCCCGGGTACCCCCGTCACCCGCGGGCACCCGGAGGGGGGCTCGGACCGACCCTGACCCCACCGGACTGTGGGAACCCCCGTCATCCACGGGCACCGACCCCACCGCGGGCACCAACCCGACCGCGGGCACCCCTGTCACCCGCGGGTACCCTGCCCCCACTGTCCCCATCCCCACTGTCCCCCCTGCCCCATGTTCCCCTCCCCGGTGGCCCGGTGCCCACCAACCCCCTTCCACCGTGCCCCGGTGCCCACCATCCGCCTGCCCGGTGTCCCCGTCCCCCCCATCCCCCTCCCTGGTGCCCCCCACCCCCCTGCCCGGTGTCCCTGTCCCCACCACACCCCTCCCCGGTAACCCCGGTGCCCCCCCGCCCGGTGTCCCGGTGCCCGCGGTACCTGAGGAGGGTGGCAGGGGGGTGGCGATGAGCCCGTTGGGGTTGACCGTGCCCATGTGCTGCATCTGCACGGCCATGGTGGCCATGGGGCTGAGGTAGGCGGAGTGCGCGGCCACCAGGGCCGCCTGCTGCTGCATCAGCTGTACCAGGGGGCACCGGGGCTGGCACCGGGAACACCGACTGACCCCCCCTCGG